AAAAAAAAAAAAACCATGATGAGATACCACCTCACACCTGTCAGAATGGCTACAATCAACACAGGAAACAAGATGTTGGCAAGGATGTGGAGAAAGCGGAACCCCCTTACACTGTCGGTGGGAATGCAAACTGGTGTAGCCACTCTGGAAAACAGTATGGAGGTTCCTCAAAAAGCTAAAAAGAGAACTACCCTACAATCTAGCAATTACACTACTATTTACCCAAAGGATACAAACACAGTGATCCGAAGAGGTACATGCACCCTGATGTTTACAGCAGCATTATCAACAATAGCGAAACTATGGAAAGGGCCCACGTGTCCACCAACTGACGAAGAGATAAAGATGTGGTATAAACACGCCCACACACAGGAATATTACTTGGCCATCAAAAAGAATGAAATCTTGCTATTTGCAATTACATGGATGGAGCTAGAGTATATTATGCTAAGTGAAATGAGTCAAAGACAAATGCCATGTGATTTCACTCATGTGGAATTTAACAAAACAGATGAACACATGGGAAGGGGAAAAAAAGAGGGAAATAAACCATAAGAGACTCTTAACGATAGAGAACTGAGGGTTGATGGAGGGAGGTGGGTGGGGGATGAGCTAAATGGGTGATGGGTATTAAGGAGGGTACTTGTTATGACAAGCACTGAGTGTTATACATAAGTGATGAATCACTAAATTCTACTCCTGAAACCAATATTACACTCTATGGTAACTAACTAGGATTTAAGTAAAAACTTGAAAGAAAAAAAAAAAATCAAATCAAATCCCTGGTGAATCAAGAGAAAGAACTGAATTCAAGGCCAACTAAGTCAGTCTCCCAAGACTGGAAGTCATTATCTTTGGTTTCTTACACCCTTTATTTCACCCAGCTGTTAAAGGCTCAGAATGCAAAGCACACTGTGCTAGGCCGTGGCTACTTGAATCGCATAATTATTTCAACAACTACTGATGAATCGAGGAAGGGCACAACCCAGCAAGTATTGTTAAATGAATGTGTTCTAGCATCTGGAATTGACAGAGAAGGTTCATGCTGGAAATACAGCAACAACTTTCCTGCACAACAAAGATTCTGCTGGGGCTTCCAATGCCTGTCTCAGATCAGTAACAGAAACCCTGAGCTGCTGACACCAGAATATTCAAAAATAGCTCTCTCCTACGGCCACATGCGCTGATCTTACACTTCTAATGCACGTTCATGAGCAAAAATTGCATAAGAATTTCAGCAAAATTACTTGGCTACAAGCTAGGACTCAGTGAATAAAATGAATATAAACCTTAAAACCCTAAAGGAAGCAATTCCTGGTCCAACTTTAACATCCAAGCCTCTTAACCGTCAAATTCATAACCCTAGGCCAAGACCGTATCACCACCACCCTGTACAACCACATCCCCTTCCCTCTACTGGGCGTGAACATGGACCTAAACAAGTGAAATAACCCAAGTGTAGAATAACCATGAGCCCAGCTTTAGGCATTGGAAGGGAAGAAGGGAGGCATTTAGGCAGAGGACCTATGGTGTGGATAGCACTGGAGCCTAGGAGAGTCTCAAAGCTATCGGGGGCACCCCAAGATGTCTTTAGTAAAAAAACAAAAACAAAAAAACCAGCAACTTCTGCTACATCTAAGTGCAACTGGGTAAAAGAAGAATGGGACAAAAACAATGATCAATGACATCCATCAAAAGACAAGTCAAAGAGCTACTACAACCTTTACCATGGTAGGAAGTCATCAGAACCAACCCACACTCACCTCCGGTTTTGTTTGTTTTTAAGATTTTAGAAAGAGATAGAGCACATATGCACTTGAGGAGAGGGGCAGAGGGAGAGAGCCTCCAGCAGACTCCTCACTGAGCGCAGAGCCCGATATGGGCTCAATCTGACAACCCATGACATCATGACCTGAGCCCAAACCAAGAGCCGAACATTCAAATGACTGAGCCACCCAGGCACCCCTCACCTTCGGTTTTATACCCACAAAGAAATCATCCTCCAAAAAGGAAAGAAGATCGTTGAAGACTCAGCTTAAGTGATTCTCCCAAGGCATGGGAGCCCGTGCCGACCCCAGGTCTCTCTCCACTGTGCCATACACTTGACCTCCCACAGTAATACCCGAGTAGGGCTGTGTACTAACACACTGAAGCACATTAATCCATTCTTCTCTCCACATGACCCTGACCTTGAACCATGCTTTCAGTCAGGAGGTTTGCATCAATAAGTTATCAAGCTAAGTGATTTCTGGTCAAGCCCTGAAGTAGATTGATACAGTATGTGGTCTTTCTTATGGCATTAGAGATGTCAAAGGTGGAGACCACTTTAGCCCCCCTGTCTCCTACCACACTTCAGAGAAGTAAAATGGTTATGGATCATTCTATTTGTTGAATTGCTCAGTTCTCCCATCACTGCTCATGTTGAACATGGTCAGTATAGATCCATAAGGAAGCAGAACTTTTTATATACTGAGTTCCACAACCAGCAATAAAACACTCAATCAGTAAACAAGCCTACGAGCACAGCCTTCCTTTGTGAAAACTGTCACTGGGCTGAAAATTATACTCTGAAATCCACTGAAAAACAGACCATCTTAACTGAGATTCTCCTCTCACTAAATTAGCCAAAGCAGCCCTCCTGCCCACAAAGGACTTTCCTAAGTTTGTTAGCTCCATAAGGAGTTCTCTAGAGATAGCAAGAAAGATTTGGTTGAAAAGATCCAGCATGTTAGTGTTAATAGGAATATGCACTTCTACCAAAACTTCAGTGAAACTAGCTTTCCCCACCTTAAGCCTGAATAGTTCAAGACCATTGGTGTGGTGATTAGTTTTGTGTGTCAACTTAGCTAGGCCATAGTACCCAGACACTTGATCAAACGCTTGCAAGATAATGCTGGTGAAGATATTTTTTAAGAGGAGATTAGCATTTCAATCAGTAAACTTTTTTTTTTTTTTAACCCATTACCCTTCATAATGTGGGTGGGCCTCAACCAATCAGATGAAGGCCCTAAGAGGTGTAAAAAAAAAAAACCTTCCCCAAAGAGAGAATTATGGTAGCAGACTGGCTTCAGACTTGAAATACAACATCAGCTCCTCTGTGGGTCTCCAGCCAACCCTGCAGATTTTGGACTTGTCCAAGCCTGCCCAACTATAGGAGACCATTCCTTAAAGTAACCCCACAACCCCCTACACACCTACACACACACACACCTACACACACACACACACACACACACTTTCTTTCCCTGCTACTGGTTCTGTTTCCCTGCAGAACCCTAATAGAATCACCTAGCCCATTTTCCAATGAAACAGACCTGAACTCATAGAGCAAAACTGAGGAGACTTACTTTAGTCCCTAAAGTGAACTCTAAAGCCAAACAAAAAACCTCAAACCACTATGCATAACTCCTATTTTGAAACTCCTTTTTCAAGTATTTGGTATCTCAGGAATTTATTAGAGTCCTGGTTCCTTCAAAGGCAGCGAGCCTTCAGCGGGATCTGTGAAACAAATGGTGATGCTAGAAAATGAATTTGTTACACCAGGAGGGGAGGAAAGAAGTCCAAAAGGCAGTCAAGGAGAGATGAAATCCCACGGCATTTGTTTATTTCATTGCTCAGAAAATGAACTAAGTCTTAGGAGAAACTGTTCTTCAAGCATAGATTCAGGTTCACAGGATGAAGACAACGCGAGAGGAAATGCAGCGAGAACTAGAACCTGGGCTGGTTCTGTTCCCATTACTTTTACTCAATCTGGAATCACCACTCAACCACTGGGCAAAAGCAGCCAAGAAAGGTAGAAACTTCCCTTTCTGCCCTCTGATGACCCAAAAGGACTGCTGGACTGAGGTTCTTCTTACCTGGCCATCTGCTTGTAGGCTTCTTCCGCCACAGCAAAGATGTGGGGGTCCATGTCCCCCATGTTTTGGCCGCTGTAGGCATAGATGACATCTTGACCATAGATTGGCAACTGTTCGTAAGGATTAATGGCAACAAGCACGATACCTGCAAACAGAGAATGCAGTCAGATTCTGAGAGCAAGACGGCCACTTGGCATCGGCCTTTTAAAGGCCCTTGTTTATATACATCAAAACTAAACAAGGAGTAAGAGAATGAATCATAACCAATCACTCAACTAAATCAAGACGTATCTGAGTCTTCACCAGGCACTGTGCTAGGCCCTGGTGGAGCAAAGAAAGCTGGGCCTCCACATACCCTAGAGCATGGAATAAGCACATGTATGTACACGCATGTATACAAATGCTCAATGAACGACACTCCTAAAATACATGTGAAATGTTGCACAATCAGATCTTGTCTCAGCTGGTTAACAACTGTGGGACTCTGGCAAATTACTTATTCTCTAAATGCCTCAGTCTCCTGGACTATAAAATTGGGAATAGTAATTACCTTTACCTGCTGGTCCTGAGGATAATGATTAATAAAGAACTCTTGGACCAGCATCTTGCATAGTAAGAACAGAGTGTAAGATTGTTATTAGCTCACATCACTTTGTATCATGTATTTTTTTTTTTTTAAGTTTTGTAGCCCCCGAAAGTATGTCACAATGATGGCCTCAATGAATACATGTTGCATGAAGAGTCAGCAAACCGTCTAACATCCTAGATCTTTTATGGAAGGGCAAGGTAATATTTGAGAATGTAAGAAGAAAAATGAACTCCAATCTTTAAGAAATTCATGCCTTTTTCTTTCCCATAAGAGCATAATCGGAATCTCAAGAAAACCACTGACAGGGGTACAAAAAAAAATGTGAGCTTTTCCAGTCCTGTGGGGAAGCAGAAATAAGAATGCAAAGATCACTGCCAAGATGGGGATTGCCTACATTGTGTCCCCCTCTGGTGTTTGGAAAGGTACACGAGAAAATAAGAGAATGGGGAAAATATTTCCCCCCCCCAAAAAATGTATCTGATAAAGGAGTGATATCCAAAACAAATAAAAAGAACTCTTAAAACTCATCAGAAAATGATCCACCTGATTGAAAAATGGGCAAAAGATCTAAAGAGATCTCACTTAAGATTTAGAGATGGCGGGGCACCTGGGTGGCTCAGTCGGTTAAGCGTCTGCCTTCAGCTCAGGTCATGATCTCAGGGTCCTGGGATCGAGCCCCGCATCAGGTTCCCTGCTCAGTGGGAAGCCTGCTTCTCCCTCTCCCACTCCCCCTCTTGTGCTCTCTTTCAAATAAATAAATAAAATCTTAAAAAAAAAGATTTAGAGATGGCAAATAAGCACATGATACATCATTAGGGAAGTACAAATTACAACTCTAAGGAGATACCACCATACACATATTCGAATGGCCAAAACCCAGAACAGGGACAACACCAAATGCTGGTGAGGATGTGGAGCAATGGAAATTCTCCTTCGTTGGTGGTGGAAGGCAAAACGGTATAGCCACTTTGGCTGTTTCTTACTAAACATACTCTCACTGTATGATTCAGCTTTCACACTCCTTGGTATTTATCCAAAGGGGTTGAAAACTTACATCGATGCTAACACCTGCGCGTGGATGTTCACAGCACTTTGACAACTGTCAAAACTTAGAAGCAACTAAGAGGGCCTTCCGTAAGTGACTCAAACTGTGATACATGCAGATAATGGAATGTTAGTGTTATAAAAAGTGGTTTATCAAGGTGTGAAAAGACATGGAGGAAATACTTAGTGGAAGGAACCAATGCGGCAAGTCTGCGTGATTCCAACCCTATGATGTTCCATAAAAGGCAAAAACGGTGGCAGCAGGATAGATCAGTGGTTGCCAGGGACTGGGGGGAGGGAGGAATGCAGAGGCAGAGCACAGGGGATTTGAGGGCAGTGAAACTACTGTTAGGATACCATAATAGTGGACACACGTCATTATACATTTGTCCAAACCCACAGAATGTCCACCACCAAGAGTGAGCCCTAATGGAAACTACAGACTTCGGGTAATAATGATGTGTCACTGTGGGTTCATCAGTTGTAACAAACGTACCACGCTTGAACAGAATGTTAATAGGAGGTGAGGCTGAGCACGTGTTGGGGGCAAGGGGGTGTTATATGGGAAATCTCTTCTACTCAATTTTGCTGTGAACCTAAATACAGTTGCTTTAAAAAGTCTGTTTAAAAGAGAAAAAATACCAGAGAATACTTGGAATCATCTGGTGTACTACATTTCAGGTTAAGGGAGAGAAAGAACACCCACCAACTTTTCAAATGGAAGTTGGCCTGAAAAGACAACCCGGACCAAAAAATAAGGCCCAGCACTGATATATTCCATCTAAAGCTAAGGACTTGGAGAAGTGTCTTAAAAACAGCCTTAACATGTTGTACTGGTTGTTAGAGGATTGTATAAAAGCCTAATTCATGTAGCATTCAAATTTTGGTATTACACTCTAAGGTCACACATTTTCCTAAAAGGTGTGAAATTTTCCTAAAATGTGTGAAATCAGACATTTCCTAAAATGTCTGAAAGCCACTTTCAGAGCAGAAAGGAGTGCTTCTTGAGGACTCTGTATTCTGTGCCATGTTGGTTACTCTGAACAGCTGAAGCTGGAGGATCCAAGGGGCATTTGGAGAATTACGTACAGACACCAGGACGTCTTTTAGAAGGGAGGACTTTAAAAAATGAAGCTGATGGTGATTTATTCCTTTCTCCCAAAAAGGGAGATTTTATTTTTTTATTCTTTGGAAAAAGCCCAACTTATTGAAGCCTCTGATAACTGATGGTCTTTTTCAAATAAAATTCCACTAGCAATTGGGCTAAAGGAGTTTTGGGGAAACTACTTCTCAAGCACTGAAAAGCTAGCAGAAAAGCTCACCAGAACTCAGTAGCCAACCAACTGATTCCAAACCAAAGTGGAACAGCACAGTGAGAAGAACTCTGGTCCTGGGCCCGCCTTGTGATCAAGAGGGAAGACCAGGGCTCTGAAGCACAGCAGGGATGAACCCCCCCACCCCCGCCCCAAAGCAGTCCGCAGACTGACTGCTCAGTCACACCCTGAAATGGTTTGCTCCTCAGACAAGGATTTACAGGGCTCTGGTTTTCACTATACCACTTCATACTCTCATAAAAAAAAAAAAAAAAAAGGAATGTGGGAAATTGAGAAGTTTCAAGAAAAACAAAAATGAGAATTTTAGGACTTTTAAAGCATTTGTCATGTTCTCTGCTCATGAGTTCGACACATATTCATCATGCATCATGTTTGTACATGGCAAGGGAGAGGGTCAGACAAAGACAGCACTTTTCTAGACTGAGAACAGAAGCCAGCCAGGCATCTATTTCCAGGAGTGTGCTCAGTGAGGACAGCAGACACCTGAGCTAGGACCCTGGGATGCCTTTACTCCTCTCCTACAGACTCTAGGACTACGCCGAAGTCGGTCAAGCCACATGGTGTGGCCCATTTCTTCCCTGGTTGGGCTGTGATTAACACCAATCATCCCAGAGATGTAGGGCAGCCTCATTAAGCCACATTCTCTGATTGCAAACCTTTCAAGGGTCACAGATGAGAGGTACTTAAGAGAATGCTAGTAGGATTCCTAACTATTAGAGAGTTGAACAGGTAAAGTCTGAAGATTGTAAGTACTCTCAAACCCACGCAGCCAACAAATGCACATCACTTACCACAGTAAGTGTAGATATGGTTCGACTCCAGGAAACGGACCTTTAAATTATGCAAAACTGCAGGCTCGTGTAGGTAGCTAAGGGCAGTTAGGTCATTTTCTCCCACCAGGATATCCGGATTCCGCAGAAAAGGCAGCTGGTTGCTTTGGACATCAATGGGGTATTCCCGAATCTAAAGAAATGCAAGTAATAGACACAAAAAGGCAGGGTTAGGAACCATGTAGCCTGCATTCAATGTCCTCTCGTGTCCTCTAGGATCACTGCCCTAACATGATGGTAAGTGATGAAGACCAATAACCCATTTTAAACAAGGGCCAACTGAACAAAATGCTTGTCTTGCCATAAGAGACCAGCCCAGGTGGAAAGTTTGCTGGTGACATAACCCCAATGTATCAAGGTAAAAATGAATGAATGACATGAGAGATTTGGAAGCACAGTGAGATTTAATGACATATTCTACTGGCTTGAACTGATCCTTAGCGGGTCTTTAATCCTGGTTGCAATAGGAGTACTGTTCCTTCTCCCACGCGGCAAACCCTCTTTGGCCCCATTTAAGCCTGCTGCTTTCCTCTCCGCCATCAACCGACCCATTCAGTTTTTATTGGGATTGCCTTGCAACTAAGTGCTCTGCATAAATGCCCTCAAGTTGTACATATATTCTTCGACAAGCTGACTACAAGCTACTCCAGGGAAGTCATTTTACTTTGACATAACATAGGATAGAAGCGGGCGCCTGGGTGGCTCAGTCGTTAAGCGTCTGCCTTCGGCTCAGGTCATGATCCCAGGGTCCTGGGATCGAGCCCCGCATCGGGCTCCCT